GCGTCCCTCGAGGAGAGGCTGATCGGTTTTCCGAAGGAAAGTCGCTTCCGTCAAACGCGCGATTGCCTGCCGAAACCATTCTCGTTATCGTCGTGAAAAATTAATTTTAAATCCGTGCGTACACACACGTGAATGAAAGAGATAAGTTCGACGAAACGAATTTTTTACGTTCGACCCGGTTGAAAGGCAAAAATGTGCATGGAAAAAAGAGCAGGAAAAATAAAGTTATAAATTAACAAATTAATAAAATTCGTATGGCTCAAATGTGATAAACACACATTTGAAGGAATAAAGGACTAAGAGCTGTGACAGGGTGTTAAATTATAAATATTAAAAGTCTAAAATTTAAACTAATGTAATTCGTAAATCAGATTGCTCTTGGATGTAGGAAAGAAATGATAAAAAGAGGCTCAGGAACTTAATAGAGGAAATAGATGAAATAGTAATTCTACATCACAATGTTACGCTGAATCAGGTCTTAGAAAAACTCGTTTGGCATCAATAACTTATTGACGTAACGCGGAAGTGTAAGATGGGCAATTTATACGTAACGATCATTAATTGAGTTCGTTCCGTTGTTAACGTTACTTGCTTAATTGAGCGACAGTGAAGCGGTTACGCCTACGTATTGACTTGCGGATTCTGTCTAAAAATATCGTCGATAACCAACCTTCAGTCGATTACTTCGACATCAGCTGTTTTGGGTACAAAGTACGAGACCTGCAAACGCTATCTTTACAGCAATTTCATGTACAGGGCGGATTTATGTGTGATGAGTTTTGATAGTTTACCAGCGGATAAATAAATTGATATCGAGCCATTATCAAATTAAAAATACGTTCGTTACACAGTAAAAAGTAAAATGTTAATGTTAACATTTTTTACATGCTCCAAAAAGTCCACTCTAAATTTTAAATTACAATAACATTTGTCGCGTGAGTTACTTTTTGACAAATTATAAATGTTAATTAATCAACGAAAATAATAATATATACGTTTTATGTTAATTCTACATTGAAGCAAGAATCAAATCTTGGTAACGCAAGAAAATTGTAACATTTGAACACACAATTTTTTACTGTGTAGATATAACGAATTTATCAAACTCCACAAGTGTACTCAAAACGTATCTAAAACGTGTAATTTTAACAATGTGACGCGGAAAGTGTATTTTGAACGAAAACTATTCTTTACAAATTCAGATTTCAAATTGCAGGCGCACACAAGTCAAAAAGGTTTCTTTTTAAATGTATCATTTGACTTTTTTTTGTGCTATGTGTCGTTACTTTCATGATAATGTGTGCAATCGTTATACAACCTGAAAGTTTGTGAAAGCCGATAGTGCACTGGGAGAGAGTGAGATATACAATTAGAATACTTGCGCGCAACACACGATGTAATTAAGATCGCATTGTCTTCGAAGTAATTTATTATTCCGAAAGTTTCGGAGTAATCCTAGAAGCGAATAGATCGTCGCTTCGCGTTTCGATCTCTCCATCGGCATCCGCCGAAGGATTACGTAACACTAATTACAATGTTTCTGATATGAATTCTTAATAGCTAAATAATGCACGCGGCACGATTTCTTTCACAAGATAAAAAAATACTGGCTCCGCTCTCCCGCCACGGTTCTTTTAATCGATCGCAATTACAAAGTCACGCAATATGGAAGTCGATTCGTTCCCCTTGTTTCCGTTTCTCGTCTGTCAATTCTTTTCTGAATGTAGTGCAATTTTGCAACAAAAGCCCGGACTCCGCCCGGCGATATAGCGCGTCGATTTGTCGGCGAGCATCGTGCCTGGGGATGATGTAACGTTTTTAATGGGTTAGTTCGATATGGGCAATATAGGATAGTACCATTTCGAAGAATTGCGAGGGTGCGCCGTTAGACAATCGTCGTTTATTTAGGACGATAACGAAGGGAGAACCGTATGCATTAAAAACTAAAAGATAATACGTTCGCAAAAAGTTATCTAGCGCTCCGAATATTCATAGCATGAGAGAAATAAGAAGCATGAGAGTAATATGGATAAAGTAGAAGTGAAGTAATTAATAGAAATAACAATTTCTCAAATATATCGAATTCAATTGTGATAGAGAAACGAAACAACAGTTCTTTTTTCTTTAAAGAAAGCTTAAAGAAATATAAGCGGAGGACGATATTAAGATCCTGAAACTCACCCCTTTAGAAGTAGCTGAACTGTAAATTGTCGTAAAAATTGAAACTTCCGGTTACAAAATAAATATTCAGACGGTTATCCTAATAAAGATATCAGAAGATAACACAGGGAAGAGGCCGGATATTGGTTGGAAATCTGTTGAAGACCTGGGCGTGCAGCATTGCTGATCATTTTTGCAAGTAAGCGACAATTAACGTTTCCAATCCGGGCAAACGGCAACTTGCCGTTTACCACCGGTGCAAATCCCGCTGCTACGTACGCTCTGTCCCGCAGTCAATGGCACGGCGCGGCCCGCCGTCATCTGAATCATCTCGACTATCTAGACCGTATTGATCGCGGCCTAAGCAGCTGGAGTCGGTCTGACAGTTACGCTGGGGCAGCCGCACGGAAAACACACGTGTTACACGGGCAGAGCGGCACGATGGAGTCGGAACCGGAGGCGTCTCTCGCGAGGGGTGGACCAAGTCGTTGTTGAGAGAATCAAGTGGCCACACACCGGTCGTGCGGCTCTCACGCGGATGACTTCCGGTTTTCGTCTCTCCGAGACGGAGTCCCGGACGCAGCGCTTCCGTCGGTCGCGGGACGCGTCGCGGAAATTCCCGCCGTCAGAAGGTTCGACGAGTCCCGACCGACCTGATCAATCGCTTCTGCTTGGACGTTGTGCGGAAATAGAAATCTCGCTCGACTAGACCAGTCGCGCTCGTTTTACCCCTTTTAACCGTTCCCTTCCGGTCGCGTACGAAGTGAAAGGTCCTCGCGATCAGGGTTGATTCGGTTGTGTCGCTCGCCGCGGAAGTGGCTTTGGTGTCGTTGACACGTTTCCTAGAGGTTGTTGGATATCAGCAGATATCAGTTGCGTCGATGGAGTTTGTTCGATTCGATCAGCGTGAGGCTACACGGAGAGAATTTTCTCTTAAAATTTACCCTGAAAAGCACGCGATCGTGGGACGACGTGGCATTTCCGACGAATTTGACGAGAGTTTCTTGAAATTTTATCACACACTTCACTAGTAATTATACTTGGTAGATATTTTACTAGTAAAATGCATGGAAAAATTTCGAAAAACTCAAAGTTGTTCAAAATGCCACGTTGACCCACGATTACGTGATGTTTAGGGTAAACTTTAAAAGAAAACTCTCCCCGTGCTGTCTTCGTACCCACATTTTCGCTGCGCGCGATCGCATTGCACGATTTGCAAGATATTTTCGACTGTTACATTTTCGTGTAAATCCTGTGATCGACGTTCGAGTTAAGTGGAGTGATATAGCAGGGACACGAATAATTTTATCAACAGCTGTCGTCGCCCACAAAACGACCATGTATTTTATGACATCTATATTTACATTTTGAATCGATTGAGCAAAAGCATCGTAGCGCACGTGCACGAGTGCAGTGTGTAAAAAAATGTTCGTAAAACAAAGCTCGCGCGTAATAATTTTTCGCGATGAAATTTCACCTTAGCCGCAAATAGAGGAAGACTCCCCGCCACGAGCAATCTAATTTTCATGGCTTTGTACCGAGAACGTTTAGAAATTTCCATCGATGCTACGTCCCTTGCCGTGAGAAGGAAAAGCGGAGTCGCTTCCGCGTTAGTACTCTATCGATTACAGGCGCTTTTTCTGAAAAGCGTCGAAGGTACGAGACACAAAGAGACGATCGCGTAGGTGCGAGGGTAAAGAGCCTACGGTCGATTATCGTTCATCTCGTCGAGTGGTTATCGCATCTCCCAGTGGGGAAAGCACTGACGCGGAGAAGAAGGGAGGAGCAGAAATTCCATGTTTCCTTTCCTCGGCCTCTCTACGATACGCGCGCTTACGTAACTTCAGCGATATTCTCGCAAATATCACGCGGTTCGCGAAACGTGCTTTGGATTCGTCACGCACGATTCGCTCTCAAGCATTTCTTTCGCCGCGTTACGCAGAGCGTAAAAGTCGCAGACTCGCGCCACGTCTTTCGCATTGCTACAGTAAATTATGAGTTGTGATTTATTGCACGTACGTCTAATTTGTTTCAATCGAGAATGCATTATATTATCTTCGAGTTCAAGAGCGATCGGGGAATTCGCAGTCGAGGGAAAACGCGACAGCTTCCGCGGCAGCGTACGTTCACGTGCTGGTGTACAAATGCATATTTATGGGTGCCAGAGAAAAGCGGCGTACGTTAATTTACATAAGGTCGTGCCGTGTCAATTTTTATTTTACTTTTAAAATACGACGCTGTTTAACACACGAACTGTTAATAACCAACGTTGCGTTTGACTCGAAGAACGTCACCGGGTACGTCTACATGCCGAGTCCACGTGACACGCCTGGCATGTTCGAATTCTCGCCGTTCGCGAGTCCGCGTTTCAGTTTCAGCAATATCGGCGGTGGGAAATAACATTCCGCTCGATGTTCGTTTCGCCTTGTATATATTTCTCACAATTTCTTCCTCTCTTCTTACAAGAGTCGACGAAAGAATCGTGCCGATTCAGCGACCCTCCCGCTAATTGCGAAACACTAATTGGCACTCGAGTTACCCAGTGACGGTGATGTTTGTTAGTAAAGTGAAATTGTATGCCTGCTCGTGTTAAATTCTATAAATAACATTCTTTGAGTTGCGCAAAGTTTTTCTTAAATAAAATACAAAGACGTATGGGGAAAGTCCTCTAATATGAGATAGTAGGTTTTCAACGTCCAAATTCAATCGCAAATCTTTCTCGCGACGATTACACGATCTGACAATCAGTTTTCACTCCAAGGGCTAAACAGATTTCACTCCAAGGGAGGCAATAAATTCATGGTGGAATCAACAGATGATGCCTATTAATTTAGCCGAAACTCCGCTATCTCATGTTAGGAGCCTATCTCATAATAGGGGACTTTCCTCTATGTATTGTGAATAATTCTACAACTTTTAATCTTGGGGAATTTCTTTTCGCGTGATTGCTAATTAAAATGTAGAAAATTGTATGAAATATAATTTACAGTGTCCATGTCCTATCGAAATTACAGATAACGCAGACGGATAATGAGGTAAAATTATCCGATAATTAATTCTACGAAGGCAGAACGTTTCACCTTTGTTTAGGAGTGATTATTAACGTCGTAGAATTTCCGTGACCGAACTTCACCACAATTAATGTGTGCCCTCTTGCGTTTAGCTGCGAAAAAAGACCTTCTTCCCATCGCGTCGCTTCTCCCGCTCTTCTGTCGTCTCGGAAAGTGCGCGTGACTCGAAGCTTTTTCACAAATCTCATTGACTGCCGTTTACCGGCAGATACGCGAATACAATTTGTCACTTCAGTCGCGGACGAACGTCGTCCCGGCTTGTCGCACGAGGAAGAAATTGGGGAACAGCTGTAAACGAACTCTGAATATTAGTGTCGTTCCAAGGAAGAACTGTTGCAACTGCGGCGCGAGATATGCTCGCGGAGAGTGCGTCGGCTCTGCTCGCGCTCGGTAATCAGTTCATTTGAATAACGTATTAATACCCCGGGGTCATCGCGAGTGTTAATCGCAATGTCCACGCCGGACACGATGGATACCATCGACGAAGCGGAACAAGCGTGGCGTGAGTATAAAAATAGTTTGTCGGCACTTTTTTTTTAGACGCCACCTCTTCGAGTCGCGAAACATCGTGCACGACCTCGCGACACGTTCTCGGACGAATATTTTTGACAGGAATTCAGTCTGGTAACGTGCCTGAAAAAATGCTGCGAGAAAGAACTTTTGTGCAGGATACCATTGATGCAGCAATGAAATTTAATTAAAACGTCGTTTCAAATTTTCTAGCGAAGAATTTCTTCCCCGAGGATGCAACTCCCGGGGAAAACCTTTCGATATATTTGCGTTTATTATAGCGCCGATAAGTTGTTCCGTTAGATAATGGAACAATGCAAGTTGATGATTTATCGGAGCTCGACTTGCGTTTAAAATATTCCATGAATTGTAAATCGCGCGCCGGGCGATATGGTGCAGTGGTAAGTCGTGCGACAACATTTCTTCACGTCGCTCGCACTATTCGCGGATATGAGGTACGAAAGATTCGGCCGATAGACATGCAAAATTAAACGCTCGGCGCACGCATGCACAATTCATGAGTCCGTACCACGTGGCTCGATCGGCGAGGAAAGGGTTTAATTTTTGTCTTGACAGCGCGACAGAAAACCGTGACCCAGTTTGCGTTATTTCGGTATGAAAAAAATTCGGACACTTTTTCGCACGCTAGATAATCAAATGCAATGCGTGCTTTCGACGCTGCGCCAGCTAAGTTCTATCAACGTCATAATGTTTAGATCTATCTATACCTATATATATGACATTATAAAATAGGAATGTTATCGCGCTGGCTTCGGGGCTTGGTTAGTGTATCTAAGTGAGATAGTGTAGCGTGCGATTGATAAGAATGATATTAAAGCGCGTTTTTAGCGACGTCATACTCGTTACTCGTAAAAATAGTATTGCATATAAGAGAATATAAAAGAGAGGTATTATATATTTACAATAATATCACATCTTTTAATATTTCTTTTATATTATATCGAAAAATGAATACACATAAAAATACGCTTTCACCAATTTATTAATTAACAAATATTTTATGTAAGTTTTATTTTCTAACTAGTCTCATTCGCAATATTTTCCTAATACTACATGAAATTACTCATTTTATTCTGACGTTTAATAAGAATTTGTACTTGTATACTTCAATGCATTTAATACAAATCTTACTCTTCTTCTTATTGAATCTTTTCTTCCGCAGACACAGAATATCATATATTTTTTGTCAGTAACAATAAGTTCTGAGAAATTGTGATAATGGTAGAATTAAAGAAGTCGCAGTTGAGAATAAAAAACATTCAAGTAATGTCAACTAAATGCAGCTAAACGGCCGGCTAAAAATGCAGCATTTACGTCCCCAGATGAGATGCTGGAGTGTGAGACCGGATCCCTTTTAGGCAGAGTGGCGGACCTCGAAAGGCAATCCTTGGCGCAGAGGGACGAGATAGTTTGTCTTCGCGCCACTTTGGCGGACGCGCTAAGGCGAATCGCCCAGCTTGAGGCAAGGGAAAAGCGGGAGGATGACAGGAACGAGAGGAGAAATGACAGGATGGTGTCCTCGCCCTTAAGGAACGGCCATGTACCTCTCAGAAGTAAGTTGACAAAGTTGCATTTCGATTGTGCACGGAGAGAATTTTTTCTTAAAATTTATCTTGAAAGTCGTGTAATCGTGAGACAACACGGCATTTCGAAGAACTTTATGAGAGTTTTGCGAAATTTTACCTGCTTAAATGCTTCGTTTGTTTTGACGAATACAAACAATATATGTTCTTTTATATTACTAAAAAATATAATTATTGTATTCAAATGCGATGTTTACATTTTCAATTTTATGGAAAATATCGAGTCAATAACATAAACGCGAATTTCTCACTAATTATGCAAAAGTCGAATTTCAATATAATACACGCGGCTCGATAACTGGGGCATGGCATAACCGCGATCGTATCTTTCGCTTGTGATAACGGAAGGAAAGCTGATTTGATTGATCGATATGTGACTCGTAAACGATGATCGGATTTGCCGCACCTTCGCTGGTAACCAGGTGTGCCGCAAATGCGCACCCTATTTCTTGTGATAATCGTCAATTGAATATTTCTATTGTTCCGTTGTTTCGTCATTGCATTATATTGTAATCATATAATAATAAATATCGAGTATATACAGTACCGGCCAAAATTATACCACCTTTAGGTTTTCCGAGCATAACTTTCGTTTCAAAGCGCATCGAATGTACTCAAAATTTTACAGTAGACACCCGATAACAAGTGCATCTTGTACGTACACGAAGGGCAATGAAATTTGACAAGATACACCGCGAAATTTTCATTCGTGCATTTAAAAACTAGTTATACTCACAAAATCAAAAGGTGATATAATTTTGGCCGGTACTGTATATCAATACCGACATACCTAGACGTGACAACTATCTTATACTTAATTTTTCTCGTTGTTAATTGTCAGTTCTAAGAATAAAACTAATCATCAAAATGATTTTACAAAAGGATATCATATGGCAAAATTTCAACGAGTATTCATGCGAGAAAATATTTTCAATTATCGAAAATCTCGAATTCTTGCCACAGTCGGAATTTTATTTCTTCCCTTCCTTAAATCATAAAACGTCCCCTACTTTTTACTGCCAGAAAAATGCAAATGATGACACACCATTAAAAAAAAGTACTATTCTTTTTCCTCCTACTCGAAGCACTGATTGCACCTACCGCTAGAGTATACCATTTTACCCTGACACGTAATATCATATACGATCGCGGCACGGATTCATCGCAGTGTTACTGCGCAAAGCGCAAATTAATACGTCGACGTGAGTGCGAGCGGCGATCGTGCACGACATGCAACCTAAGTCAGGCGTGCATATCCGGCGGACTCGCTCGCGGATACCTCTAGAATTTCGTACGTTACGACAGGAATTGCGGATACGAGGAAGCCTCGTGAGATCGCGAGTGTTCGAACGTCTGGAAAAGAAGCTCGAGCCGGGTGTTGTACCTGTTGGCACGCGACGGCCTTAAGATCACGTTCGGTTTCGCCCAATGCAATTGAGAAACCCGCTCACGAACGTGAATGGATTCACACAATTATTCGCTGGTCTTCGGCATTCGTGCAGACCTTGGGAGAGAGTTCTTCATATATTCTGCACGGCAATTCGGGAGTGATCGAGGCGAATGCCGAAATAATTCTTTGCGATATCAAAAACTGTTGTATATTTAGTTATAATTTTGCATGCTAAAATTCAAGATCCTTCGTTAATTTTCTTCTTCTCCCTAATGTATTAGGCTTAACTGTTTTATTCAGTTCTCGTTCTGGTATTTTGAGCATTTGGTTTTACTTCATCTTCGGTAGGCTGCTAACCACGCCGAAGAAAAACCCTCCCATCAGGAGGGTTATATCCATAAAGGGATATGTGTGGCAAGATACTCTCGGTGGTTGCCACTTCCCTTCGGGAGATTCCGGGAAAAAAAAACTAGCTGTGTCCGCGGATTTGAACGCGGATCTTTTCGCTCATTTGTTTACTAAGCAACGCGCATTTCTCTGCGCCATACGCGTCACTTGGTTAATTTTAATTAACTAAATTTTAACCCGGTCCTTTTTAAGATATAACTCAATTACAAACGTGCCAGATCCTAAATGGCGTTTACGTTTATATTTGAGTTAATTTTAATTGTTACTAAAATATGTAAGACAGTTTCGCGGAACAAAGAAATGTCACAAACACTCGATTGATTTTCATGCGTTTACATGTGTGTATATTTTTATTTTAATAATTTAAATCGAGATAGCCAAGTTTCGGCGGAGAAAGTAATGCAATTGAAACGAAAACGGAAGGACCTTGTCCCACGTTCATTAACTTCTCCCGTGCGATCGAGGTGCCAGAACGCGAACGGTTTTCTAATTGTTCTCCCCGCGTTGCCGCGATTGAAAGCATGCGAATATTCCTTCGGCCCCTGTCAGACGGATCTGCAGGAAATGAAAACGAGGATCGCTGACGTGCATAAATTACTGCGCCGACAGCATCCTTATCTTAGCTCCTGGCAATTGATGAACGCAGAAAAGCTGTAATACATGCGGAAGGCGTTATGAATATCGTGCACCGTTACACTGCTATTGAAACCCAATCACGCGGAGGATACGTTCCGCCGCGTGTTATTTATATAACAACCGAAGTTCGTAGCGCGAGAGGCAGGGTCTTTCATCGAAACTAATTGCAAGATGTTAAAAGTTGCGACAGATCAGCATCTAATATCTACAAAATGTGTTTTCGTTCTCTCGAATTACTCTGAATGAGAGACCGATCGTTTTCAGGTAGTCAAAATTCGGTGCCACAGAAGGACTTGAGGCTGCGCCAGACCGGTGGTCTCAGAAATTCCTCCTCTTCGGGATCGTCCCAGGATGTCCGCGACGCGACGTCCAGCCCAAGACGGCCCGCCAGCTACGTACACCCCTCCCAACTTCCTCAAAGGTGAGAGTCGTGAAAACAAGCTATAAATTGTATTTGACATCCGCCTCGAGTAATCTAAAACTGGACGGTCGGTTTCTTAGATTTCTTAGGTTGACAAGCAGATCGTGAAGGAGAGTTACGTCTAAATTTTATGTAACTTTAACATTTTACAGATAACCCAAAAATCTCGGATGCTTTTCCAGTTGTCTCCACGCGCTTTCTCCCTTTCGTTGATTAATACCGACTTCGTTTCGTATTCCAGCTAATGTTTTATATATTTTGCGCTTCGTCTTTGTTTTAGTTAATTACTTCTTGTTTTAGGAGATCCGTCCATTATCAGTCAACGGGCTCTTTACATTCCGATAGTCCGAGTAGTAGTAGTGTTTCTCCGGTGCCATCGCCAAGCCCTAGAGCTACGCCACTGCCTGTAGCCAGGTAGGCACAACCCAAACCATAATTTAAGTAAACTGTAAATTTAATTGTTTGCATCTTATGTCGTGAACACCGAGACACTATGGAAATTGTAAATACAAATTGGAAATATATCCAAATCCATCTGAGCCGACTGCGAGAACTTGGATAATTTTCGCTGCATTGTTAATTGTGTGTTACGTGTATGATCGTGATAAATATGCGCATGCATGTTCTCTCTATAGTGTTATCGTCACGTTAACGAACGCTCGCTGTTTAATTAGTAGCGATATATTTTAATGTTCTTCTAGAGCGTCATTACGACGTTATGCGATGCGTGTATATATGCATGACGCTGTTGTACGAGAATTGAATTCGATGTCTTAGATCGCCCACGGCAAGATCAAACGGACCGCCGCAAAGTAGCCTAAGGAGAGCGAAGAGATGGTCGTCCACCGGCGACTTTACACACACCCCGCAAAACCAGGGAAGCAATTCCCAGCTCGTCGGTACCAGGTTAGCTCGCAGCTAATAACGTAACAGTAAAACGCACCGTTTGCTTGCTGTTTGTGATTTTGTTCACATTTCACTGATCACACGAGTTTAACTTTTTGTCATCACCGCCAGTCTTCTTGCTTCCTCTCTCGGGCGATCGAGCGCGTTTTCCCCGTCGAAGCCTGCCTTCTCTTATATTCCATTTGTCAGAAAGTTATTATTGCCCCATCTTTTATGTGCTGCTATGCCTCTTTCTTGCGTCGCATCTGCACAGTACGTTGAACTTAATTGAATATTATTTTTTTCTTCGTACCAATCATTCATAAATATATGATGCAACTTGAAAAAGGTACCTTTAATAGTTTGCAGATATGTTGCAAGAAATAGGAGATACAGTATAAATGGATGACTTTAATGTGTAAGGATAAAACAAGTCTGCGATTTGTGAAGCCTATTTTATTTTATCAAGTCGTATCTAAAGTAGGCTCTAAAATTATGAGCGAGTCTAATTTGTTCGGGAGGAGAAGATTCATTATTCTAATGTCCCCCCGTCTGAAATTATGCTTGAAGCATACCGAATCGGTGGAGGACCTTTTTGTAGCTGCCGTAGACCCATCGATGAAAACTAGAAGCACACGGGAAACGGGCCGATCGCATTAGGGACAGTTGTCCGTTTTCTCTTATCTTTTGTTCTATTTTGTTCCATTTTGCACCGCATGGTTTTCGTTTGCATTTTCATTCATTATAGATTGTCTGCGTCCACCAAGTCCCTGTTCAACCTGTTCAAGCCACCGGCGATGAACAACGTCAAGCACGGGTAAATAATATACCAGAATACTTTACACAACTTACTGCCGTACCTTGGCTTCTCGAAGCCGCGTTTAGGCGACTCGCCGTGCGGTGGTCGCGGGGTCGCACGTGTACGCGCTTCGCCGATGCACGTGCGCGGCCGAACGGTCTTTAAGATGTGCAATTTCGTCCCTCCGCAGGTGAGCGCGCATGGTAAAGCCTCGCTTAAAACACGGGTGTTAAACGCACGTGTAGAATTTCCTCCGGGTTATCGCCGTGATATATATCTGCATGACACACGATCTGCGGGATATGCGATCGCGGAGGCGGTTGATCCCGATCTCGCCTCGTAGATCGCGGATCGAATTACGACTTGTTTCTTTACAAGCGAGTGGCTGGAAGTCGGGGAATATCGAAAGAGACGTTTCGCAAATTTAAATAACGCTAATTATTCGACAGAACATTTTGATAAGTTTTCTTTTTATTCTAATACTCCGAGTCTTCGGCAGAAATTCCGCAGGAATTACATGAAATGCCCACTGTACACGGAAAAGGAAAATGTAGCTGCCGTAGCTAAAAACTGCATGTGGTAACTGAACTTCAGTTGTAAAATGTGGACAGCTAATATTTAGTTGTGATAGCTAATACTTTGCTACTGTGCCTATTGTATTAGGTGCGACAGCGAACCGTTTGCTGTGATTTAGAAATTTATAATTGATGCAGCAAAATATTTTTAGCAAATCGTGATTAGCTACGGTAGCGAAAATTTTCTTTTCGAAGACCGAATCTAATAATTAGAGTTTGTCCGAATATTTCATTAGATTTTCTCAAAGCTGCAATGTTTTGCACAGTAATTGTCGCATGCATTATGATTTATTAACAGATGGAAGATCTTCCGAAAATGTACAAAGATAAAACAATCTCATTGCACGTATAATTTTTGCAACGTATACGGAGAGAATTTTCTCTTAAAATTTATCCTTAGAACCTTGTAATCGTGAGCCGACATGGCACTTCGGAGACTTTTATGAGAGTTTTGTGAAATTTTACCGTACATTTTACTAGTAAGGCCCGGTTTCACCAACGTTGTTTAACTTTAAGCTCAGCTTAATTCGTTCTTTGCCTCTTTCCAGCTGTTACTTTAGAAAGAGGCAAACATGAATTAAACTAAAGTTAAGGGACGTTTGGTGAAACCAGGCCTAAGCTACGTACTAATTTTAAGTATAATTATTAGTAAAATGTATGATAAACTTTCAAAAGCTGTCCTAAAGTTGTTCAAAATGCCACGTTGTCCCACGATTACACGATTTTCAGGGTAAATTTGAAGAGAAAATTCTCTCCCCGTGTAGCAAAGAAGAGTTTGCTTCGTGCTAACGAGTATCAACTTCTAACACTTGCCGATTCGTCGATCGGTATTGCAATGCATCGCCCGTTAAACGGGAAATTACCGTGCCGTACGCGTTCGCACGTAGCACAGCACGTACATATTATCACCGCATTGGCACGCCGTTGATTGTGATACGCGTTACTTTCGACCTTCGATCTCGCATGCAAATGTCATGCACAGACCTTCTTGAGGCTGCGGAACTTCCAGCTTGGCAAGAGTGCAGTTCAAAGGGGCGTACGTCACCGACGTGATACCGTATATACAAGACGTAAAAGTAATGTTTTAAATTTAAATGTCGCACCTGGGATTTTTTCGCACTGTGCATGGATCGAAGTTAATCGCACGTTTGAATCGCATTCCCATGGAAACTTTATGATTGTCTGTTTTGAAATTGGCGCGCGTAGCGGGAAGTGTCTTATCGTACTTGCAAATTATTTTCGTGGGAATACAATGGACAAAGGGTAAAGCTACAATTTGTATTTTATGAACTGTGAGAGCGATTTAACAGTAAACCTACACAGTAGCACAGCTCTGTTACAATATGGATCTTGCATACACGTATACACGTCGAAGATAGCGTATTCTGTGACGACAGTCGGAAGATAAGTAAGTAGTTTAATCCGCGTGGCGTTTATTTATTTTATGTAAATAAATCTTATTAATTTGTCAAAGCAGAAGCTTGTAATTGGCGCACAGCGATCGCGATCGCCTGTCCTTTGTGAAAAATACAAAACTGGAAAATCGTCTACCCGAGCACCCGCTTTCAGACGGCGCCGCGGTTCTTTTTTTTTTGCTGACGTTTCCGGCGTGCTCGTGACGCCGTGACGTCGTGCACACCAGGAAACGCAGTACGCATGGTTGTGCAACAGCAGGAGGAATCGCGGACTCACTTTCTTCGGTAACGCAATGGCGCGCTTCGCACTACGACGTTAAATGAGCCGTTAACCACGTGGTCCTCCTCTCATACCTGTTGCCTTCCCGCATCGTTCAACGTCAAAAATGCACTCGGAAGTGCTTTACCCTTGCCCGCTCGTTGCATTGTCACGAGCGAGCGAGCTTGATTTGAATATATTGATCAGACGGAGTCAATAATACCGTAAGGATATGTAAACAGGCTGGGCTCGCTCGGTAGCGTGACAGTCTGTAATCATTTCTAAATGCGTTCAATTTTATGTAGAAATATGCTTGCCTATATGAGTAGGGTGATTCAATGTAATAAGAATGCTTTTAACTAATGAGCACAGCTCACGTTGCTCTCGCGCATAATTTCGTACACCTCGAATATTAATTAACATTGGTACGCGTTACAATAAATGTGGAGGCAAAGATAGCGGAGGCCTCGAATTCGTATTTCACCAAGAATTTGGTCAAGGCTACTTCTCCGCTGTCGTTTTGTGTCACATTGATTCGCGTTGCTCGGCATTTACTCACCGCGCGGCATCTTTTCCTCAAGCGCAATCCGCAACTTTGCCGAGACACGTCTCGCGAGCTGAGAGACCGAGAGATAAAAAGATTGGAGTTCGCGCGATAAAAACAGTCGCCGCTTTACGCGTTTCATTATAAAGCAGCCCTCCTCGTCCCCAATCGTGTAGATTAAAACGAGTCCAAGGACCTCGCTCGAACCCAGGACGATCGAATATTATACCTCGTGTATAATAATTCGATATCGCGGGAAGATCAAAAATAGAAAAAAAAAATTGACGTAACGGTACAGTATTCTTCGCGGAGTAATAAAGCCGGGGCTTATTACTCGCGTGAGTCATTCGTCGCGGTTACCAGACCTCATCGACACAGAAAGCCTGGTGAATTCGCTCAGTATAGCGCGAACAGTGCGATCAGAGAGCACGCCGGTCGTAACGCGAATCCGAGCGGGATTGAGTGAAGCTCTTGAGAGCGAAAACCATTGTCGATTTGCAACACGTGAGAAACAACTTTATTTAAGGTAGCTTCAATCGATCAGCTTTTGTATCGTGGGACCATGTCCTTTTAACTGTGAACGCTAATTAGAAGATATTTTAAGAAAGCTGAAAGAGTTAGAAAGAGAGAAATGTCCCCTTTCTTATGAGATTTAGATATAACAAGGTGTAAAAATGTTGCAGACAGAAAGAAATGAACAATTTTAACTGCTAAATTGCGTAGGCGAGAAAACGGTAAAATCGCCGTAAAATTTGACAATAACAGCGAGTAAGCAGACCTAATCGAACGATCTCTTTGTAGTACTAGAGACATGCAGTACAACGAGGAGGAAGGCACCGTCCGCATGTACTTGCGCGGTCGACCGATCCTTCTTTACGTCCCTACGTCCATGATGGAATCCTACGACCTTCACAAAGTTAGCACGCCGCCGCAGAGCAAATTGAAGCTCGACTGGGTTTACGGTTACCGCGGCCGCGATTGCCGTAGCAATTTACACCTGCTGCCGACCGGCGAGATCGTTTATTTCGTCGCGGCAGTCGTTGTTCTGTACAACATGGAGGAGCACAGCCAGAGACATTACCTAGGTCATACGGACGATGTCAAGTGGTGAGTGTGAAGTTAAGAGGTGATGTTCTTGCGAAGAAAAAGTGCTACAGAAACGTCGAATACTCAGTCGCTAACAGTCCCATTTGACAATGAATTTCAATTAATATAATACAATTTTATTGCAATAAAACGAGAGATGAATTTATTTAATTTGGTTTGTGGAACAAAAGAAAATTATAGTATACAAAGTGCTCTTTAATTAGTCAGACACATATATTGAGTAATATTAATCTGATCTTTTTTTTATCTAGCATAGCGATTCATCCTAACAAATTGGTTGTCGCGACAGGACAGGTGTGCGGGACAGATCGTCGGGATGCTATGGTAAAATTATGAAAATATAATAATATTTGAAAGAGCGAAGAAAGAAAATGAAACTGTGTAATGAAACGTGGCGGACAAATTACAAGATTTTATAAATGAATCAATGAATTTCAGCCGCACATAAGAATATGGAACTCCGTGAGCCTGACGACTCTTAGCGTGATCGGCAACGGCGAATTCGACGGATCGATTTGCTGCCTGTCATTCTCCAAGGCCGACGGTGGTAATTATTTGTGCGCCATCGACGAGACCTCCGATCACAATATATCAATCTGGGACTGGCAGAAGAGCGATCGTGGCACCAAAGTGACCGAAACGAAGGTACGCGGCCGATAATCCGACACGCGCGTAATGACCCGCGATTAAAACTTGCGGGAGATATATTTGTAATGTTGCGAACAATTCGCGTATATCCCGGCCGGAAGCAGGCCATTTAACGGCCGATGACTGCCGATTGCAGTGCTCTGTCGACACGGTGGTTTGCGCCGAGTGGCATCCGCTGGAACGTAACCAGATCGTCTCTTGCGGGAAAGGACACGTGTCCTTTTGGTCCCTCGATACTGCCGGCATGCTGTATAAACGTATGGGCATCTTCGAGAGCAGAGATAAGCCCAGATATGTTACCTGTGTCGCCTTCAACCAGAACGGCGACGTCCTGACTGGCGACAGCAATGGCAACATCATCGTTTGGGCTCGAGGTAGTCACCTTAGCAAATATCATACTTCGTAATAATCTTCGTCGACTTTTAAGGAATCGGGAAAAAATAGCTTTCCACTTTGGAGATAAAAAAGCGTTGTCTACCTTATTATTCATTTTTTAAATCTTTTAGGTACTAATACAATTTCAAGGCTAGTGAGGAATCTCCACGAAGGATCGATTTTCTCCATATGTGTTCTGAAAAATGGCAACATTATCACGGGAGGCGGGAAGGACGGCAAGATTTTGTATTTTGACGCGTCGTTGAATCTGACGGGAGAGGAAGCTCAGGCAAGTCGGGGAAACTTACATTTGTCTTCTAAAGATAAAATTTGACTTCCCTCTCATCAATGCACTCTTCGATAGTGAAGGAACAATAAAATTTGTTTGATAGATTGAGGATCATTTTGGCGGAATTCGAACGCTCTCGGAAGGACGGGGCACTCAGTTATTAATCGGCACGACGAGGAACTGCATTCTCGTCGGTGAAATTGATATGGGTTTCAACCCCGCAATGCTGGGCCACGCCGAGGAAGTTTGGGGACTAGCGGCTCATCCGACCTTACCTCAGTTTGCCACCGCTGGACACGACAGATTGTTACAGATGTGGGACAGTTTAAGTCACACCGTGGTGTGGAGCAAAGACATCGGCGTATGTAGCGTTTATTTATCTAGCAGTACAGTCTGTTCTCGTTATCCTGCAAAAAAGAAGCAAAAATACCTTGTAAGACGTAGAAATGTTTTGTCGTAAAAATTTTAATTAATGAAATTGCGAAAATTAATAAAATTAGATAAGTAAAGCTTTTGATTCTCATCAACTTTTAGAGAGATATACGGAAATAATATTTGTTTCTTTTACTTTATTAATTTGTATTGTTATTTTTATACTTATTATAAAAGCTTTTGATATAAAATTAAGTACATTTAATCAATTAAAATAAACATTATATGTATATATACTTTTTGTTATTTATAAAACCTATGTGAAATAGAACACGATATAAAAATACGTTTGGTTTTTTAGGAGCAAGCACAAAGTATCGCTTTTTCACCGGATGGTAGTGTCATAGTCGTCGGCTGTGTGTCCGGGAAATGGTTGGCAATAGATAGTGAGACACGAGAATTGTATACGCACCATAGCGATGGTTCTGAGCCTATTCAGGTACGTTTATATAATACTGTATTACGTAATTATGGCCTTAAGTGCATCGAAATCGTCTTTACGGCTCAGATGTATCGAAATCAATGAAAATAGTTTGATCATACGTCTGATTCAATAATATTTAGCAAAACAAACGTTTGTATGTAGTACAGCAGAGTATGAGAAACTCACAAAAATGATTTCCGTATCTCAACTTGTACTTATGGTTTTTAGGTCGTTCAATTCTCGCCCGATGGCACCTTGCTTGCTCTCGGCTCCAGAGATAATTATATTTACATTTATCAAGTGAACGAGGACGCAACCAAATATAGTCGAGTTGGACGATGTATGGTAAGTTATTGGAAAAATTAATATTCATTTTATATTATCTCATTCTATCGTCAGTAAAATTCATACATTTTCTGAATGGAATATTATTTTTTAATAATACGTGTTAATCGTTTTAACATTATATAATTATATCTTTGTTAACTTAGTGTTACTTAAACCCCAAAGATATTTTTCATGCTCATAATATCACGTCACAAGCTTCCTTATTATATTCCTTCTTAAAGTTCTTTTATATCAAATCGCATAATTTTATTAAAACATTTTTTATTTATCTTATTGTAACATACTTAATATTACTGGGTGTACTGTAAATAACAAATATGTGTACATATTTACTTCCTATAATGAATAAGTAGTCACAAATAGCATTCATTAATGATTCAATAGTTCAAACCAGTAAGAAAAATCGGATAGTTTCTATCTATTAAGCTCATCTCCATGTTTTTTTTAAGAGACCTAAGCCATTTTTTCCATTACATTATATAATATACACAATCTTAAAAATGATTATTAAAATATTTATTTCCAAAAACTTATTTGTAAATATATGTAGTTTAAATAGCTTTCCAAACTAATGGTACAAATATGACGTGATACGTTTTATCAGCAATTTCTTGTAAATATTCCTAAGCCTAATAATATTCAATACAATTCTTTTCCATTTCTAGCCAAAGCGGATTCGAAGGCACGGAGTAAGACTTGTGTTTCGGCCACTCGAAAACGTAGAAAGGACGTCGCGTTGCGCACGAAATTATTTTAAACGCATCAAATCCTTCGTACAATTGATAAACGTGACGCGACGTGCCTCGCTTTAGTCTCATACATGACCGTAGAATACTGTTAATAACGTAGCTCTCACTTAACTTCGTAGCACCCGCACGCACGTTAAGCATTGCTTGCATAAAGTATTATAATATGATAGATGATAGAGTTGTGTTAATTTGTTATGACTCACTGATCATTTGATATTCTATAGCTAGCGACAAGAACGCAATAGCAACCGCAACAGCTTATTCTGATAACAGATGTGCGTCTCGTCTAACCAACACGGTTTTTTCTTTCTTTTTTCAGGGACATTCCAGTTTTATAACTCACTTGGATTGGTCCGTGGATGGTCAGTACTTACGCAGCAACAGCGGAGACTACGAGTTACTTTATTGTAAGTAAAGTCGTTCTTAATAATGTAAAAAGTATAATTTTTATCCACATACAGGAACTAAAAGAATCGATTAAAGATGTAAGAAAACGTACGCCACGCCAATTATAATGTAGTAATAATATCGCTCTAAATAAAGAATACATTGTTACACATTCAACGTAAAACTTTTTCTGACTTTCAGGGAATCCTGGCGTGTGCCGTCAAATTCCACAGTCCTCGATGTTGAGAAATGTCGATTGGGCAACTCATACCTGCGTGATATCGTTCGAGACGATAGGCATTTGGCCGGAAGGCGCCGATGGAACTGACGTAAATAATTGCACACGAAGTGGCGACGGCAAGCTCTTAGCTACGGGTGATGATTTTGGCAAAGTCAAATTGTTCTCTCACCCGGCGTGCCAGCCGAAGGTAACACTTGGACTATTTTCAATTCTTTTGTGTTACACTAAACTTTTGAGAACCTCATTGTTATCACAATTATCAACAGGCATGCGTATATTAAGAGGTACGTTAAGATCTTGGTAACGAAATTTTATTTCAGTCACTATACCATTCCTATGGCGGCCACTCGAGTCACGTAACGAACGTGTCGTTTTTGCAAGACGACTCCCGATTGGTGTCGACCGGTGGCGGCGATACCAGTGTTCTCCAGTGGATAGTCAATTAAACGAGCCATTTCCGAGCGAGCGGTTCTTAAAAGTGCACTTCGAGATCGAGTTGAAAAGATAAAGCAATGTTAACGTCGCGACGTTTAGAACTAAAAAAAAAATCGCGCGGATTACTTAATCGCGAACCAAGATTCGCAAACGGAGTCATCCTAACACCACAATTTTCCGACCTCAAGATATCGTCCGCCGCATGATGTATTTTATTATGATGAACACCATGAATGTTCTTAAGAGGGTTCCACTTGTTCAAGAGTGGGAGAATTAATTGATGCCTCGATTTCTCAATACGTTTGTCATCGTATGATATTCATAGACAGGCGTGAGATATTCATAGACTCGAACATAAAGTGTGTCCTTCTCGTAACAGTATATGTGGAAGCACCGATATAATTATTTCTTACCGTTGTGTCCAACGTGCACAATTATTGATGGACAAGAGGACGACTTTCGGCGGTGTATTTTTTGTCAAACATAACGTAATAATCAAAGTAATGAATACTTTACACGGTGCTTTACTATAATACAACTTTTTGTCTATTTTTTATTTTCTGCAGTTGTATTCCGATATTTTGGCAAGTTTTTCTTTTTCTAAATGGCGATAATCACGAAAATCGCAATCTTCTTTAATTTTGTATATATATACATATACAAAGAGCTGATCTTTATATCAAGAGGTGATCTTTATATATTCCCGAATAATACGTAAATGGATGTAGTTTTTTAATTTTGAAAGTAATGCGTGCTCGCGTGTACATGGTATGTCGTGCGTTAATTAACGGATATAGATTTCAAAATAGAAACTGTTATAATCAAACGAGCGCATAAAGCAAAGTAATCACCTATCTGACATAATATATTAGATATAAATATTATATTATAAAGATATTTATAAATATATAATCATATATATACGAGGTGGCTGAATTTTGTTGGAGCAAAATCAAATATCTGTTTCGAGACACAAAGGACTTCTATTTTATTTCATTTGTCAGGCAAACGCGATACATTTTATATATGTTGCGCCACACTATTCCGAGATTGAAGTACATAGTTGAACAATTTAACATATCAATTCGTAAATGAACGATATGCTTGCACGCGCGTACGCATAGGTATTTACCAACTATTCTCAAAGTCATGCTAATTATCCTAACTATACTCTGAATGCGATAACGCAGTTTCGCGGGAGACCTAAGGACGAGTCTCGGGCGGAGAAGCGCATGCTTCTGGGGAGGGAACGTACTCGTCATGATCGAAGAGCCAAGGCTTCTCGCGGCTGGAAACATAAAAGTGAAGAAGATCAGAGGAAAAAGCCCCTATGCGCTCCCAAAAGACCCGATACGGGACCCGATCGCGAAAAAATAACCGAACGACTCACAGTGCCGTAATATGCCGTCCAATAGAAAAGTACGTAGCATAATTCGCAATTCGACGAACTGTGCTTTTGACGACGGATTTTGTCACGACGAAGAGAAAAAGGAAAATAAGAGGAACGGACGACAAAAGAAATACTTTTCGAGCGTACGCCTATCGAATGTACATATGAAAGAGATCATAGCGTCGCTTCGACGCGTTTCGTACACATATATGCCTTCTCTCATTGACCTCCCTTTTGGCATCAACTATTTTACCAAAGTCTAACAGAACAAGGATAATCACATTATTTTCACTCATCGTCAACGTGTAAGATATATCTATATATATATATATTTTATTTATGTCACGGTAACGTGTATGCGTATACATCATGTGTATGTACTTTCAATAGATAATAAATCATCTTCAGAATAATAATCACGCAATAATATGAATTCGTTGCATAAAACAGCTATTATTGTTGTAATACAATGCAAGAACTAGTAAGAGAATTTAATTAAGGAGAATCCACGCTCGGCTAGTTAAATGTTTGCAATAACAATTTGGCAGTAAATTTGAAAAATAAGTTGCAGCAGATTGACATCAACTGCGACGATCTGCAAATATAAATCAAGCTTATATTTTATCGACAGAGGCTGCGGACGTATGAAGACAGACTGATATTAGAAGCCCAGCAGATCTGCTGTTTCATGACCATCTCAATAGCATATCGATCTAGTTTAATATTTTTTATATTTACCTAAATACTACAAAGAGTTTTGTCTTTTTATTACATTATCTCGCAATGTTCTCACAAGAACTGTTAAGTTTTTCTGCTATTTTCTTAACAATTACTTCTTCATTGCTTTTTATTAAGTTTACATATGATAAGAATTATTCCAATTTACACCGCTTTTAAACCTTGATTTTACCGATATACGGGCAGTCCAATGCCGAATAATATAAAAGACCGCAGAATCAGAGCGGAAGCAACAGCGAAAATATTTGGCCACCAAATGAAAGTAGGCGCCGCAAAGATAATTCTATCGTTTCCTCAATATTCTCGCTTCGTGACAATCCAAACAGATAGCTCGAAAAGCTGGAAAATATTTAAATCTAGTGTACTGTTAAGAATCTGCCCACTTGAAAGCAATATTCTAAATATAAAATCTAAAGATTGAAAATAACCAAACTTTCTAATTTAAACAATTTTAAATATATAGCTTGACTATAATCTTTATAGAAATGATAATGACAATCTTTTTACGTTCTTCCTATCAACATTTGCGTTTGCAATGTGAAAATTATTCCTTATTTCGGATTCCTCGTGCGAGAACAGCCGAGTCTCGATATCTCTTTGACATGGAAATAATCAAAAAAATTCAAATTCTTTATTAATACCTCAATGATGATTTTATGGGGCACGCGTTGGGAAAGATGGCGCCCAATGCGGTTTACATCGAAAGCGGTGAAAGTACAGGCCATTTAATACCGATCCGTTAAACTTCAAGGTCGTAAGCGGGACTGAAAGAAACGCGACGAAAAAGGTCAAGGTTGCGTGGGAACGAAAGCGTATCCCAGTTCACGAAGAGAATTTTCCAAGTCGATAGCGTCGCGTTCGAAGAGCCGTCTCAATCGAGCTCTTTTCGCGTCGAGCACCTCTTTCCGGCTGGGCTTATTTCCTGAAGGCGTGACTTCCTTTCGCGAACAATGTTGAATTTTCGAAACGCAAACGGTATCGCTAACCACTTTCGCTTTGCTTGCTTTCTTCGGCCTACAGTCGAAGATTGACAATACAAATTACAATAGTAATTGTTGCATAATAGTTAAAACAATTAGATCAGTCACATTTCACGAAAGAGTAATGAAACATAAAATATTTAATATAAAGTAAAATGCAATAATTAAACGAATTAAGCGTAACGTGTGTGTGTACAAATTGAAAAAAAACTTGCGAAATAAACGCAATTTATATTTCCTCCAGTTTAAATAAATAAGAATTGAGTTAACAGATATTGATTAGCCAAACTGTTTCAGTTTATTATTTATATGCCGTTTGCCTCGCATACTTCATAAATAATTGAATAAGTATTGTGTCCAAATGAATGATAAAAATCGTCTTTATTTACAATCGCCGTTAAAATTACGTGCCAGGAAAACGAGATAACCTCGGGACAGCGAGACTACGGCGGTCGTAAAATTTACGTTCGCGCGAAAGAGAAACTTACAATATTGTCGGCGCAACGATCGGTGCTCGGGACCGCTCGCAGGAGGCGTCGGCCGACATTTCTTTTCACGTGATTACGAAAATAAATTTCTAACAGTGACACGAGAGAGTTTGAAAACGCACGGATTTCGAGGGGCGGGGGGGGGCGGGGGGAAAGTTTACTCGGGCGCGCTTCTTGACTGGATCCCCGAAGTCACTTTCGAAAATAACTTGGTTTACGAGAGACGGCAGGATCGAATTCGTCCGTTTTATAAATAATCCCGCTTTGTTCGATGACGCGTGCGTCGCCAACAGCCATGAATGAACGTAAACTCGCGAGCTATTCCCTTCGTTCCCTGCAGCGCCGTACATTGTCATTGCCGTTCACTTTTCATCGTTAACGGGTGTCCGATAAATTACGCGCTAATTAATCCGTCGCGTGAGGTGAGTGAAAGGTACGCGTGCAAAAATTCTTAATCGATCGAGAGAGGAAATAATTTTCTTAAACGTAGATTACTGAAGACAGTGTTATTTTGACAACACAACTAACCACAGTAACTACATACCTAATTTCAAAGAATTTAAAGGACTCAGAGCCGTGACAGGATGGTAGTGTCTAAATATTCTATTCTAAATTTATTGCGTAATGTTATTTTCAAAGTTGTAGCCGGAATCAGTTGTTCACCCTGACGTAATAATTATACCGGACGCAGTCAGGGAATAAATGAGCAATAAGACAAAATTTGGATTCGTTATACCAATATAAAGACACTTAATTTTCTGATCGAGGCAAACGAGGTTGCGTTCTAAAAAATGACGACGACGTCGTTATACTTCTCAGATTTAATTCGAGCCGATCGAGGCGGTCTGTCGAACAGTTTTGAAACAACACATTGCCGTCTCGCCAAGCAGTTAAGCACTTCTGGATCCGCTTGGCCATTCGGTTCGTTCGAGTCATCGATCATGCTTAATTGCATCCATCGTCCGCATCGCCGATATCACCCTGTCATGCGCTAATACATTATGCACGTCTATCGGACGAGATTCGAATAACGCGGCAGAAAAAAGACAGAGGGAGAGAGAGAGAGAGGATATTTAAAAAAATGTTCAACAGCCAGTTATCGATGGCGGCTGTTCCAATTTAGAGAAGTGAAATTAATCGACGCATTGCGAAACAAGTGCAACGAAAAAGTCCCACCGAAGATGATGTCACGATTGTGCCCCGGTTTATGCAAGTTTCGGACTCGCAATAATTCGCGTTGAGAGCTCATTATCGCGCGGCGACTCTTACGCCCGGCATCGCGTGACGCCTCAGTAGAATTCGCGCGATTATATAAGCAGACGCATTGCGTTTCCTCCTGTCTCGCAAGAGGGAAGAAAAATCGACACCGCGAGTTCTGACCGGCCGATTGAAAATCTCGATAACATTATTTTTAGATCAATCGTTGTAGAAGCCCGCGAGGCGATCATTTCGTTTGAATATTGATAAAGGTGTGTGTCTTACTTAATATTTCGTAAAACGTAGCTGCCGCGCCAAGTTTTCACAAGAAAACTGCCCCATTTTCTGTTGCTTTAATTATTGCAATAATTACTTCGCTGTCGTTCTTTTTTTGTTACAAGTAGACTGTACGGTTGGCGTGACTCATAAGAATTACACCGCTTTCACACCTGGGTTTTACTGGTACAAAGAATTCAACGACACATGCCGAATGATACGAAGGATCGCACAGAATTAGAGCGGAAACGGGTAGTGAAAATCTTGCGCCATCAAACGAAAGTGCGCGCCGCGAACACAATTCTATCGTTTCGTCAATTCTTGCTCGGCGTTCGTGACACAAATAGCCCGAAGAACCGGGAAATATTCCAATAGAATTAAGATTCTGTCATTATAAAACCGTTGCGTAATATTTCCACAATTTCACATTACATAATTCTAATACGCTAAATCATACTAAAGTACATTGCACTTTTATTTCTTTCCACTCAGAGGAATATACAGGGACACAAGATTGAGCCTCGAATCTAACCTTTGCTCCTTTTTCATGGTGCCAATCGGTCATCTCGATGCATATCGTACGTCATTTCATATCGTAAATACGGCTGTCGCCGTATGTTTTGACAGTCCGTACGTTGAGTAGATTAATAGTGTGTAAGTTTATCGGTAGATGTTAATAAGCGTATTCATTAATTAAATTTATTTTCAATTGTAAAAACTAAAATCTTGCAAATTGAAATTCTCGGATTTACGGAATTGAAATAAAACTTAAAAAAATTGAACTTTTCGAAGAGCACATTTCGGAATTGTCTAATTTGCTGCGTAAGCGCCAATGGTACTTTAGTATAATTAAAATATTTGTTGCGTGCATGTGTCTTAAATTTAATTAAAATTTCAAGTTAACGGTTTGTAACAAATTACATTTTTTAATTCGAGAAAGGAAACGTACGTAGATATTAATATACATTCATATTAGCACGGTACAAGACGCCTCGCCTTTCCTCAATTCATTTACGGCGATCTGGAACGAGGCGGTTAATGGCGCACAGGTTGGGAGATAAAAATGGTTTCTCGTGCGAAGTTGTGTTCAGCCAGTCGGAAGGAAAAGTAACCGTTTCCCACGACGAAGGGTCGATTACATCGAATCCACGCGAGCTTTAAAGCAATTCTCGTTCTCGCCTCGTACACGTGTGTTTATCCACTATCACGCATGCCGACGCGTGTACGTGTACATTCATGATGAAACTTAAGGGTATATTCACAGTAAGAAATCTTCTCCTCATTAACTGTCTCCCTAATTCGTCTCTGATTTGCGTAGCCAATCCTATTTATATAGTATGTAAAAATATAACAATACGAATGTATGTAACAAAAGTAAATATCAATTCGAGTTTATTTCCACAAAAAGTTTACACCTATTCTTAATTATTGTTAATTTGAAACAGACGAGAAATTAGATAATAAAGAAACCGAATTACTTCACTCTCAATTTAAAATCATAAATGCGCGAGTGCCCCCCTAGCGGAAAAAAATTCTATAAATAACTACAAAAATTGACTTGAAATAGAAATTTGTAGAAATTTTTATATCTTCGCTGAAACATTAATTTTCTTGTAAAAATATCTACGAGATAGTATCACAAATTACAATGTTCTCACATCAAGAAATTATTGCAAGTAGTATTTCATGAAAATGTACAATTTGGTAAAAATTAGTGCAAAACTTTACTAGTTTAAA